CCCATACATGGGAACCATGGGAACCTTGTGAAAGCCCATGCATGCACGGGCATTGTGAACGCCCATACATGGGAACCATGGGAACCTTATGAAAGCCAATGCATGCGCGGGGATTGTCAAAGCACGTGCATGGGCTTGTGAAAGCCCACACTGGCTCAAACTTGTGCAAATAGAGTTCAGAAACCTATTGCGAGCACATACACTCAGGATCGCTCAAGTTTTTTTTAGCAAAGCTCTTTGTTTGAAGCTGCATTGCTTTGCAATGCTGGCAAAACCCCCAGCTTCCACCGCTGAAGTGTCCTCAGTGCAGTGGCTCGGCTGCTGACTCGACGTGTAACCCTGGCCGTGTGGCCAACGAAATCTTCATCTTGGGGCGTGGAATCATTTAATGGATTCCAAACAACCCCATGCGCTAAGAGCTGCATTCTCATCACAACAACCACATGATGAAAACAATGACATTTGGGGACCATGTTGAACAAAAACCTTTCACTGTCAAACGCCCACACAGCCAGCCTTTGGTATGCTGTGCAAAAGGCTTGGCCTTTGACCACACAATCCATGGCGTCCTGACCATAGATCCAAACCCCAGATGCGTGCAGCAAATCCCAAAATCTGCAGAAAACCTCTGCAGCCACTTTGATCAGGTCATGCTGCTCAATGTCATTTGCAGGATAGTTCCCACACAGCCACACCACAAAACGGAGAAGGACAATACTGTCCTGCCCTTTGCTCCATGATCCAGAGACATAGTCTTTGACAGAGTACCCCAACAAGGATAGGTTCAGCTGATTTGCATGAAACGTGTGCCTCTGGTTCTTGCAAAAGGTCTTGAGCACTTCATTCATTTTGGCAGCTCTCTCCGGCAAGTTGGGTTCGTCAAACAATTCCAGTAAAACAGTCAAACATGAGCCAACAAAGTCTTTCAAAATCCCTGCGCAGCAAACATGAAACAAATCCAGTTTGAAAAAACTTGCCGGGTGCGAGCGATCACTCAAGCAGCACTCAAGCAACGCAGGTGTCCTCATGTATGGAAGTTTCCCTTGGTCACCGATAGTATTGATCCAGCTCGCCTTGAAGTCATGTCCATTCATCAAAAAATGTTTGCGGGATTTTGCCTAGCTGCGTCCAAGCCACTGTGTTGCTCAGGTCCTCAAAAGGATGATCCCTTGTGCCAGCCATGCACAGCCTCAATGTCAGCATTCTGCACAAGACCCATGCGTGCACGCACTACTATTGATCAATGCTGACAGTCAACCAACAGCATCCAGCCAATTCCGTTGAGTGAACAGCTTCAGGCGCTTTGCGTACATGACTGAATGAGCGCACAAATCCAGCTGCTTTGACTTGATACGGTAGATCACCTAGACAAGCCAACTCTCCTGCATTGCCATACTATGGGATTTGAACCTGCTGACCACGTCACCTTTCACCCCAATGGTGGCAAACTTGAACTTCAGCCCCCCATAGTTATAGCCCTCCTCATAGAGTCGCTTCATGCCATTTCCTCAGTTCATAATTTTAACGGTATCAACATTATTAAAACAATCGCAACAAACCACAGCGCACATGCAAACAAGATTCCAAAAGCTCTGAACAGTCGGTTCAACGGCTGGGGTGTACCACTGTACATTGCGCGTGGAAGGACACTGAAAAGGAACCGGGTTCCCCAGGTGTTGCCACGGTAGTTGATGGCCAACCCAACTCTACTTGGCAAAGCCTTTTTTGTTCCTCCTCCCAACACTGGCTGCCATTGAAGGATCATCACCTCTGTTCTTTTGAAGTGTCGACCTCCATCTCCATGGAGCTGTACCGGCACAAGGCTGCTTGCATCAACGACACCCTGTCGAAGATCTTCCGAAACATCATGGTTGGGGAAGACCTGTTGGAACCACTTCCAAAAAAGGGCCAAATCTTCACGGCCTGCAGTTGCCCAAAACCCATGTCTCACACGCAGTGACCAACGACACCCAAACGGTCTCATTAATCCAAGGCACACCTCTTCAGGGTCACCCCAAGGGCAGCTTCAAAATGGCCATGTTGGGCCAAAGCTGCAACAACATCCATGGGCTCTATGGCCGGGTAGTTCATGAGCTTCTTTGACACACCCAACCTGACACTTGGACTTTCCCACTCTTTGGGTGCCAGTGCCAAAGAGCATTGACAATCATGCACAAAAAATGAAACAACTCTTGTTCTCCAAGCGTCTGCAGAAATGATATCTTGGCCTGTAAAGTGGCCTTCTTGCAGTCACCCATGACTTTGTGCACATGTTCTTCTGCATCTCTTATTGACCCTTTTGCCAGGTCCTGCAAACACAGGTGGTGCACACAGGTGAGGGCCTTCGCAGGCCCTCAATTACACAGACAGGTCCCATGCTCTCGCTTTAGGCAACTGGTCCCAGCGACCTTGAACATACACGATGCGGCCACCAAACTTATACAACCGGGCCCCAATCCTGCACATCACAATCAGCAATCCCATCGACTGCATCTATCTGCGCACACTCCACAATGCTTGACGCAGGAACCTCTCAAGCAGAGGGAAGTTGCACACCTGATCACCCAGTTGCATTCCACAAGCAGCGAGTGCCAAGCGCCACACCCCTTTGGCCAACTGGCGGGCAAAGAACCTAGTCTTCCTCGAGTTGGTCTGCTTCAAACCTGGCATGTCCCACTGGGAGCATGTACTCTTTAGTTGCTCGATCCATGCGTGGGCCCAACATGTAAGTCACAAGCCACACTTGGCAGCAAGGGAAACTTTTCACCCCACCACATTGCTTAAGGTAAAAGCGCGAACCATCGTGTGTGCATTCACACACCTAGAGGTTCCCCTCTGGCATCAAATTTTGAGCTACTAGGCAGCGGACTTTCCCCTGTGCCTTTTCTTAGGCGGCTCAGGCTCTTCAGCTGTCTGCTCAGGTTTTGCCTTGGCCTTGGTCTTCGGCTTGGCCTCACCAGTCTTAGCCCGTTTGGCTGGCTGATTACTATCATCTTTCTTCTCCACCTTCACAACCATCTTCCTGCAAGCCAGGCCCAAGTGCCTGTGAAGGCACTGAATGCAACATGCGTGCATTCACATGCTCCTATTCTTGGCTTCAAACGAAATGGCCAGGGCTGCCCTTGGCTCACAGCAATACAACAAACCCATCCATGAGCACACCATTGCACATCATCTCAGTTGCCCACTCCTTCCTGAGTCTCTTCATCAGTCCAGCCACCTTCTCCTCAGTCTTTTGGTTCGACCTTACACAGCTGCACAATCACATGCACAAATTCATGGTTGCATTCTTTGTTGTCAGCAAGCCACCCAGCAGGGTCAGTGATCTTTGCTGAAGCCTGCAAAAATGCCAGCTCATCATAGATGGTGGAGAGCTCCGAATTCACCTTCTTCATTCGCTCAATTTCCCTCAGTCATCACGAACATGTCAACT